CTACATTGATACAACTATGCTACCATAAGGTCTCTAGTGTAGACCTGGTCTAAGCAACTGCTTAGGGCTCCATGTGGTTCAAAGCTTCCCCCATTTGCTTTTTAGTAAGTGTTGTGGGTTGTGTGTGGGGGGCCTCCCCAGAATATTCCTGCATAGGGGCCCCCATGTGCTAGCACCTTCACCAGACAAGGCATCACACGGGAAATATTTCCTTATTAAAAACAGGCATATTTGACCACCCAGCCTTGCCTCCAGGAAGAACTTCCAGGTAGATACAGGTTCTCCAAATGGTAGCACTGGCACATTCAGTAGTGTTTGCTGATTACCAGGGGCGAAGACTCATGAAGGAACTCAAATCCACCAGGCAAGAAGATGCTGTAAATAGCGTAGCCAAGTTTCAGGCTCTCACAATACAGTGGGAAGGGATCCAGGGTTTTCTGGTGTCAGGAGGAGAAAGCATTTTGTGGAAGGAAGAAAACACACTGCCTCAGCTGGATTTCCTAGCTCTGGGATGGGCAGACTCTGGGTTCTCATTCAAGTGGCAGCATCTGAAGCAACAAGACCTCCTTATGCTTATGCTCCAATACATCTGTTAGTCTATAAGGTGCAAAAGGGCTCCTTGTCGCTTTTGAAGACCTCCTTAGTGGATCTTGCTGAGTGTGCATGGGTGGACTCTCTTGCCAGCCCAGAAAGAATTGATATCATGCCAGATTCTGTTCTGGGCCCTTGCCTCAGGCCACAACTTATTGGTTAAACAGAATTGAGGCAAAAATCTCAAAATAAAGTCGTTCTTCTGCCCAACATAAGCTGCTCTCCCCAGAAACTTTTACCTCACCACTTGCAGCCCTTCGGGGTCCTTGCCATGACCCAGGGACTCTTGCTATCTGCTCCTGGCATTCTCACTCAGCTTGGCTGCTTGGGAGTCATGTGATAGCTGGTTTCTTTTCACAGCCCCCAGTTCCAGTGTAACAGTGATGGGCAACCAAGGCCCATGAGTGGGCCTCAGGAATGGCCTTCCTTTCATTCAGTGGGCTGCAGGTGGGCAACCCGTGGCCTGCAGCCCCCTGGGGTTCCGTCTGTGGCCCACACAACCTCTGTCTGCTCCCCTCCCCTACGTGCCTCTCACACACGGGGGCACTGGAGTCCCATGATTCCTACTCCTCCCATGGCCTCCCAGCACTTTTGGAGTGCCACAAATGGCTGATTCGTGCTCCATCCCTGCTCCTCCCAGGATTTGAACAACCATGAATAGCTCCAAAATGCTGGGAGGAGTAGAAAGTGTGAAAGCTCCAGTGCCCCAGGCCTGAGAGGTATGTGGGAGAGGCAAATCAGACAAGGGGTCCACAGGCTGCAGGTGGGTCTTCAGTGGGTTGTATGTGGCCCATGGGACAGAGGTTGCCCGCAAACGTAGTACAAGAACTCAGCTTCCTGCTCCCTGTAATCTCTCCAACCTGGCTGAGTTCTCGCTGGCCTTTCTAAAGATGAGGTGCCCCTCAAGTTGAACTCTTCTCTCCACAGGCTCAGCAGAGAGGCAGCTCACAGGTGGAGCTATGCCCATCTCTCATGAATAGGGTTGGTCACTGTGAAAATGAGGAGGTAGCATCCATCACAGCCTAATTAAAATACTGCACTGCTGGCCTACAGGGGTCTGGATCGCTTCCAAATGCCAAATAATTCAAGAGGGAATCATTTCTTGGCCTCCAATGCCCCAAATTATTTTCTTTTCAAGAAGAAAATTGGAGATGGAACGCATTCCATTTGGACAGAGGATTTGTCTGCAAGCGAGGCCAAAACTCTGCTAAATAAGTCACCATGCCAAGTGCTTATGGGTAATTAGGCATGAAGGGAATCAGCCGTCTGTTCCCTCCATTGTGTCTCTCAGACTGCAGATTTGCAACGTGCCTTCAGAGTTGTGGCACTCAAGCTGAAAATGGGTCCTAGACATACGGCCACCGTAAGGGTCTCCGTAAGTGTATTGGTAAAGGTACCGGAACATCAGAGATCTCTGGTGGCAAAATGAGTAGTACTTCATGCACTGATTCTCTCACTGGGATACTTTTTTTAAAAAGACCTCGTTTGGCACTGATAACTATTCCTATTCCTGGCTTCTAGCGCCTTTTGATGCCAATGGCTTAAAGGCATTATTATAGTGGGTGGCCACAGTGAGTTCATATAGTTCTACTGGAGGGGTGAGATACACAGCTGGGAAGAAAGTTGGAAATGGTCCAGTTATAGAACCCAGTGCATTTGTCTGCTTTTGTTGCCCTCAAGTCACTTGTGAAGGCGAGGTTTGTTGTATGAAATGGAAATGTAGCCATGGGAAACCTCCTTTGGTTGTACATTTAATATTGGTTAGCAAAGTGTAGATACTTATCTTAGCCATGTTACCATTTCTTGGCAACATATGTTAGTATTTCTTGCTTTTATATGGGCTACAAATACAGCAAGACTTGCCTTTGTCATGGATATTTGTCTTAGAACCATGAACAAAAGTAGGAAGTGCAGAGAGTTCTGAACTAAACTTCTAAAGTTTAGTTCCCGTTCCCAGCAAGAGGTTCAGATCAGATCCTACTTGATCTAAACTAGGGCAAACCCAGTATAACAGAGTTAAAAAGGATCCTGACTCTAAGCTGCAAAAAGTCTCAGAGGGGTAGCTGTATTAGTCTATACCTTTAAAAACAATGAGCACCTTAGAGACTAACAAATATATTAAATCATGACATGAGTTTCTGTGGGTAAAACCCACTTCATCAAATGAGAGCAAAGCTGCAAAGTTCAGGAAGTTTTTGGATCACTCCTAGAGGAATTCTACAATTTTACTATGGCTCCAAATGCAACAAATGCAGAATTCTCCCGGGGCTATTGGATCCAGAGTTTTGATTAATCCAGTACAGAGCTGAGATCTGGATCCAATCTCTTCCAGAATTTGGAGTTATTCCCATACAACGTTCAGGTTCAGAGTAGGGCTGTCAAGTGATTAAAAAAATTAACTGTGATTAATTGCACGATTAACAAATTTAATCGTGATTAATCGCTTGCACTGCCCCTTTGAAACACTGCTGTGGCGTTTAAAAGGGGCAGTGCTTCATAGAGCCCGGGATCAGCTGTAGTCCCCAGTTGACCCCGGCTCCATGCAACGCTGCCCATTTGAAAGGCTGCCCTGGCGTTTCAAAGGGGCAGCACTGCGGGAGCCCAGGATCAGCTGGAGTCCCAAGGGAATGCCAGAGTGGCACTTCAAAGGGGCAGTGCTGCACAGCTGATCCTAGGTGCTGCCCCTTTGAAAGGCAGCAGCAGCTTTTCAAAGGGGCAGCGCTGCCCAGAGTCTGGGGTCAGCTGGAGACTTCAGCTGATCCCAGGCGTTACTGTGCTGCCCCTTTGAAACGCCCTGGCAGTGTTTCAAAGGGGCAGCACAGCAGAAATGCCTGCGATTAATGTGTTAAAAAATTAACTTCTTAATTGTGCTCTGCGTTAATCGCAGGTGTTAACACGTGTTAATTGACAGCCCTAGTTCAGACCTATGTCTGGTTTAAAATGCAGGTCCATATTCATTACATCTTCTGGGGTTTGATTTAGTGAATCTAGTAAGGACCCACTGATGGTTCCTCCATTGACTTGGGAAATCCATGGGGTTGCAAGGAGTAAGGGAAGTTGACAGAAGAGTTTCTCCTGTTTACCTCCCACAGTGGAGACGCTGCAGATATTTGACTTAAGATACATCAACTCCAGCTATGCTATTCCTGTTGCTGGAATTCCATACCTTAGGTCGACTTTCTTGCGTAGTGTAGACCTGGCTGTAGGCAGTGCTAGCCAGTGCTAAGGCATGGGTCTCATTTGCTTTGAAGGCAATATCAAACTCCCCTGGACTTAAAAGGAGCTGGATTAGGCCCTAAATATTTAACTAAATCAAGGTGTGTGTGTGTGTGTGTGTGTGTATTGTGTGACATTTATAGGGAAACCTACAGTTCTAACTCTGTTTGGGTATGTCTAGACTACAGAGTTTTGTTGACAGAAGTTTTGTTGACAGATACTGTCGACAAATCTTCTGTTGACAAAGAGCGTCTAGACTACATCCAGTTCTGTCGACAAAGCAAGCCACTTTGTCGACATAACAGTGTGGACGCAAAGGACAGTGTAGATGCAATAATGCCTTCTATCGACAGAACTCTGTCGATAAAAGGCGTTATTCCTCGTAGAATGAGGTTGACATACATCGACAAACCTGCTGAGTTTTGTCGACGTTATGTCGACATAACTCAAAGGCAGTGTGGACGCAGGTATAGTTTTGTCGACAAAACCCTGTAGTCTAGACACACCCTTTGTGTTTGGGAGGAATAGATTTTAAAGAAAATTGCCATATACAACTAGAGCATTTAATCATGTGTTAAATCAGGGGTGGGGAACCTCAGGCCTGGGGCCAGATGAGGCCCCCCGACTTGCTTGGATCTGGCCCCTGAGGCTCAGGGTACCCCCCCAACATTGAGGAGCCCATGCTTACTGTGGGACTGGAGCACACAAAACCTGGACCCCACTAAGTTCTAGTGTGTGAGGGGGATGTGGGGAGGGTCTTTCTCCGTCTCAGTCGGGGGCCACGTCAGTGAGGGTTTGTCTTTTTTATTTTTTGCTTCTCACTTGTGTGCACCCCCGACTGATTTTTTTGTGTGTCAGCAGCCCCTGACCCCAAAAGGGTTCCCCAAACCTGAATTTTAAATGCTGATCCCATTTTATTTTCTTCGGGGGTAGTGCAGCTTTAGCCAAAGCATAAAGCAAACTCTACCAAGTGTAGAAAAAAAATCACCCTGATGTGTCCTTTTTGACAAACTGACCTGTGGGTCACAACCTGAGTTTATTGATCTGTGGGGCCTTGTCTGGGTATCGAGCCTGTTTTCTGGACTTTGGTTGCAGCTGCATTCCTGACTTCTGAAAGAGTAGGGGGTGTGGACTTCCACTAGGAGTAACCACTGGGAAGGAAGTAATGTTCATTAAGTGTGTTTCATGCAGAGGCAGTGCAGGACTAAGCATGCTCAGTGCAAAAGCTTGTCTCCTTTGCCTGTCAAGCCCTATGTTTGAACTCGTTCCAGAATACTGGATTTACTTTTCACAAGGAAAGAATACCTGACTGGACTGCATTTTTCCTTCTTTCTTCTGTGTAGTAACCAGAAGATTGGAAACAGTATTCTTTTATGATCAATTCAGTCTCAGTAATACAATGTTGTTGAATGCAAATATCACCATGGCAAGAGAGAAAGAAGAGGAAACTTTGCTACCTGTAAAGTGAAGACTTCTTCTTAGGTCAGTAAAGAGAGTGAATAGAAACTATGTTTTCCAAGTACTTTTGGCAATAGTTTAATGTTGTTTCCAACTCCACCCCACCTCCTCAGATACTTTAACATAAATTAAAGCACACTTTTAAAAAAGTTAATTTTCTAAGCTAATCAGCAGCTTTATTGTTGTTCAGTATTTCTGATCAGATAAACCTGTTTTATATGAAAATGTTGTGACAAAAGTTTATGTATTTATTCTTTGTTGGGGGAAACTCCACTTCTGAAAATGTGATACTGTTGACTTTAGCAGTTAAAAAAAGAATTTAAAACCTCAGTGCTTTGCTTCTATACTGTGCGTGTAAAGTTTTTAAAAGGTTATTCCTCTCTGTCCCCCCCCCCAGCTGAAAAGAGGACACTTTCTTGAAGAATATATCTTATCAAGCAAATGTTGTGGCTTGTTCAGATAGTCATTTCCAATCTGAATGTAGATGCTTTGCATATTAATGTATGGCTGTAGTTCTTTCTGTGAAATTTATTTTTTGATTTGTTGCCAGGAGGTGGGAGAAGGAGATTTTACTTTTAAAAAAATAGGCTTGGAATGGTGGACGCTTGCCTTCTGAAATAATTTAAGAACTTTAAGCTTTTTTGTGTAAGAGCTTACTTAAAAGTATCCATCACAGAGATTTTTAAACACTTTTAACTTTTGTGGAGCGGAAAGCACAATCTTGTTGTACTGCCTAATGGAGAATTTTCTAAATATAGCCAAGTGTTCAAGGAAGAAAATGACTTATTAAATAAAGGTAGACTCAAATATTAGACTTTAAAAAGGAGTTTTTAGCCCATGGCTTTCCTGTGTTTTCATTCAATTTCAACTACTGGTAACCTCTCATTTCAAATGTACTGCAAAGGAGATTTTTCTTCAAAAAATTAACATTAAATTGAGTAACTGGGGAAAATATATATAACACTGACTATACAAATAGTATTTTGGAAGTGCCTTTTAACTCTTGAGATAATCCTGGAAATAAATGTATATGCAGAAGTAAAATAACTTTGTTGTAAACTATTTTTTATGTTATCTAGTAGAACTAGGTGTGGAATTGTTTCTTCATAGGAAAGAAAAACATAGCTAAGCAGAAGGAAGGTTACTGATAGATTAGGAATGGCATGTGCTGTTTTGGAGATAGAAATGCACAGGTCTTACTGCTAAGTGATTGTAAGTGAAAACTCTGCAACTTTGTAAGTAGTAAATCGGCAGTTTTATTTTCCAGTAACAGGGGTGAGTGTAGACTGGAAATGATGAGATTATCTAGCCTGTTCCCTTTGGTTCTTTCATTGATTTGTATTGGGGTCACCTGCTACCTGCAGAAGAGAAGAGGGGCAAGGAATATCTGTGGCCAAACAAAAGGACCGTGAAAATGACCAGATCTGAAACACTCTAAAGCCTTTCTTTTTTTCACCGTTCTTCACGTTGGCTTCAAGCAAGTGTTTGGCTGGAAGGACAGGAAAAGGTCTGCCCCTGCTGTGGTTTAGCAACCAACCTGCAGAGGAACATGGAGTCAGTGTGATCTACTGGGCACAGGACACCTGGATTCTATTTCTGTGTTGCTGGGGGCAGGTAATTTCTGCCTCTTTGTGCTTCAGAAAGGGATAGAATCACATAGTCACCTTGTTTGTAAAGTTCTATGAGGCCATTTGTTTCATATTTGCAGAGTGGAGAGAGGCTTACCATGCACACAGATCTGGATTTCCAACACTGCTATATTTGAGGTTCTTCAGCTCCCGAGATTTTGCTCAGGTCATGTTAGTAATAGGGATCATTCACAAATAGCCCCTCTTTCCCATCACCGCTGAAGTGAGTTTAGATCCAAGTATTCATGCTGGCCCCACCTCTAGTGCAAGATAGAAATCATTTTTGGAAGATTGCAACCCATCCACAGGCGTAAGCTTTAGCAACAGTTAGTGTCTTAGGAGGTATAGATGGGAAAGCGCTATTAGAATGTTGGATCCCCACCAAGGGAAAGCCCAATAGTAGATGACCATCATTCTGTTTAACGGGTACTGCCCAGTTCCCATTTACCACAGTTCCTCAAGGGTGGACCAGTCAGCTAATAACCTGTCATCCACTTGGCCTCACAGCATTTTTATTTTTATCTCTTCTCTCTTGTTTCACACTACAAACACCCTGGTGCTTTTATTCCACACATGAACTTTAAAACTTCTGAATAAAAAAAATGTGACCGTAATTTCTTTAGTGCCCAAGCTCTCACCCATATCCGGTGCTGTCCATAGCCAACATGTATTCAATGCATGTTGCTCCCCTGTCTGTTCTGCTCTCACACTCATGCTGTGAGTCTGGGACTGCCGAACAATTTAAATGGGGTGGTGGTGGGGGGAAGTGCTATAATGAGTTTCCTTGTTCTAATTCCCATCTGTGATTCTGCTCACTCTCCCTGCTTAAAATATGGGGCAAAACTTTTGAAACTGCCACACAGACGAATCAGAAGTGAACGTGTGATGGAGGAAGTATGAGAAACAGACAAATGGGATGTTCTCTGCTACCCCAAAACAGCAAGCTACATTTGCTCTGAGAATGAGCAGCCCTATGGGTTGGAGTGGGATGGGGCAGAAACAAAATTGTCCTAAAGTTTCAGAAGTGACTAACGATTGTGGGCGCCTGTCTTCAGATGCTTTAGAGACCTGATTTCAAGGTCAGTGCTCAGTGCTTTCTGACAATCCAGGCCCCTTTGAAGTGTCATACCTTGGGCACTTTTGAAAACCAGTCTCAATACACCTGTATCTCTAGCTAGGTCCATTTGTACCATTGAGGCTTATGGAGCAGATATCGGAAAATGTCATCATACTGTCAGGCAATTAGAAACGTGTGTGAATACGGTGGAGGCGCTCAGTGTCATGGGGTAGACAGTATAGCTTTGCTTATTCTGTTTATTTGGTGTGATCTTGAGCAGCTGTCACAAATGGGCTCCGCAAACCTTCTTTGCCTACCCTCTGAAAAGGTCTGGTGCAGAAATGCAGAGCAACGTCTCCTTTGGCATCGAAAGTAGCACTGCATGCACAGGCTGTTCTGCACAGTCAGGAAGGGATGTGGAATCTTGCTCTGTACTTCTGCCTTATACAGAGGACCCTTCAGAAGACTCCTGAGCAGGGCAGCAGGAAGCATTTTGGGTTCATCTGTATTTCTAGCCTTAGTCCTGATTTTGATTGATACTGACTGTCCTCATCCTCCTTCTGAAACCCATGACTGTGCCGTCTTCCATCGCCCTCCCTCTGCATCCCATAGGAATAAAATGGTAGCAATGACTGGGACATGGGGAAAACTTGGGAATCAGAAGCGGCATCATCAGGAGCATGCTTAGAAGGTTATATTGAGCTGACTATACTGAAGCCCATTTACTGCAAATCCTAGCATTTCCCATGAGGGCTGCATCTCAAGCTAGTAAGTGTTCAGGCAAAGCTATTCTAAGGCCAGGTCTACTCTGGAGGAGAAAGTCAACTTAATACACAGCTCCAGCTACAAGAACAGCATAGCTGGAATCGACGTACTTTAAGTTGAAAGTCTACACTTTGGGAGGTTCCCTTACTCTTCACGACCCCGTGGAGTACCAGGGTCGACGGGGGATCTGTCAGCAGTTGATTTAGTGGGTCCTTACTAGACCTGCTAAATCAAACTTCAGAAGATCGCTCTCTAGGGGTAGACCTGGCCTGACTTTGCTTACCTTATTGGCTTCCCCCACTGTAACTCATTTATGGGTACAGCTAGATGGCGAGGATCTATCTGAAAAAGATACACAAAATGTGGTCTGCATTTTGCGTATCTTTTTCCGATACTTTTGTCGGAAGAGGCTTTTCCGAAATTTGGCCCATTTATACTGGACCAAATTTTGGAAAAAAACCCTCTTTTGAAAGTCCCCTTCTTCCTCATGGAAGGAGGAATACAGTGGCTTCCGAAAGAGCGCGTTTGCTCTTCCGCAAAAAAAAGCAGAAGAGCAAACGTGTTCTCTGGATGCGGTGGAGGTTTTTCGGGATACCAGAGGTATCACAACCTCTCCCCCTCCCCCCCGCAGTCTAGCCATACCCATTATATCATTTGGTTGGTAGGCCAGCTTAACTGAAAGAGGAAAGAATTTGTATCCCAAGCCCCTCAGTTACTGAAATGAAACCCCTGAGCCAGTGGTATCAGTCCCCAAGTGCCAGCCATAGTTCTAAGTGCTGCTAGCAATCAGAATGAATTTTAGCAATCTCAGTCCTCTGTGGACTAGCAGGAGCAAGGAGCACTATGGAGCCTTTTTAGAGAGAGACATGCAAAACCTGTCCACATTAAGAGATAAGACAACAGTATTGGAATTCTCTCCCAGGGGCATGTATAAGCTGAAGACACCTTCTTTGCCATGACAGAGATGAGGCTGCACGTATAGCCACATCATTGCTGTCTGGGGTTGGGGCACAGGATGGGGGCAATGACCACAACCAGAATACAAACGTTCAGAGCTTTATTTGTGACATTTTAAGACAAAAATGTGTTTATTCTTACAGGTCGCAGGGGAGATAAGGCCATTACATTTATAGTATTGTCCACAGACTTCATAAATGTGAGTACATAATTCAGAGTTATGTTGTTTTCAATACGGGGAGAAGTTTTGGTTCTACTTATCAAAGAATAATACACTGAAGCAGAACAGGTCCCTAACTCCCATTGAGAGTCAATGGGAGTTGGGGATGTGACCAATTTTAGGAACTTTTGAAAATCTCACTAGGTTCCTATTTGCATCTTTAGGTGCCTACAGACATTTGTAAATCTGGCCCTAAGTCTCATTGCCCTTCCATACATCTTATGCTTTAAATGCTTAAGTCATTTTGAAGATGACTCTTAAAGGTTTCCTAAGCCACATCGGTGGTTTTCACAATGTTGCCCATCTGCTTTAAAATAACACATGAAAAAAATGAATGTAAGACAAGGTTTTGGCTGCTGTTAATGGTTTCTGCATTGTAAAAGGATTTTGACTAAAGAGTCAATGACAAAGAGGCATAAACTTGGAGTATAGTTTAGCTGCTAAATTCAGGTTTAAATCTGTATTTGCCAGAGCCTGAAAAGTTCAGAAGTGTTTGGATCCAGAATTAGAGTTTGGCCCATTATAGATGGCAAAAATAGTTTTGAAATGTGTTTCTGAACTGTGATCCCCACTAAGTTTAGGTGTCTAGGGCTTTGTTTTAGCCATTACAAAGGTAGGAAACTACCACTGTTCCCTATAAGCTGAGTGGTTTGGCAGCCACCCAGGGGAGATTAAAATGCCACCCATATGATTAGCTGAGTTCCCACAGTGCCCACAGCCAGCAGCATATATTACTACTGATGGTGCACATCCACACATGCCTCAGTGCACATAACAACAATCATTCTGCACATAGAGGGGGGAATAGAGGGAACATTGGAAACCACTGCAAAACTCACTGTTAATGTTGATCCTCTGCATACAAAATTTGAAGGTGTCTGAATCTGGGCCTTTGATCTGGGCCATATCCCTAGCAGAAAACAAGTGGTGAAATACCCTGCACTGACAAGTAAGGACTCTGAAAGAACAGGTGTCTTTTCTGAACTGCTTCTCTAGTATTCTTAGGGTTCAGGTGGTTGACTAAATGAGCATTGTGTGCACCAGGCAGCAGGGTTTAGGGTTGTTCTCAAGTGCCTTTGTTTGCAGTATGTAAAGCCATCAATGCATCATTCCTTCTGCTTCAGCTCTTTGCGACTCCCGTCTTCTCTATTGATTTTGCACAGAACTTAGTGCCCTGGAAAGTGTGACCTGTACTGCTGGCTAATTTATTTCTGTCATGCTTGTAGGATTTGGGGAGGGTGATGGCGGGGCAGGGGACAATGAATTCAAGATGTGGAATATATATCCCAAGCTCTGAAACCCTCACAGATTTTCCAGTATCCCAAATCCCCTAGTTTGTATTCTGTACAACGTCAGATAAAAAGGGAAATCAAATTCACATAACTAATCAGGCAATTCACCGGAATGAACTCTTCTTGGTGACGTATGCCTGGGCTAATATTTATTCAAAGTTTGCTAGATTTCAAAATCAATTTTTAAACTCTCTGATTTATGAGCTTGAACCAAAAGCCCAGATCTGAGCTCCCTAAAACCTGCTTTAATCTGAGCACTGCTGCTTGAGCTCATCTGTGTTTATTTCATGGAAGTTGGAGGAGTTGGATTTTATTTGTGTTGAAAATTCACGTTGGCTTAGAGTGGGTGGTGGTTGAAAGATACATAGTTGCTTTTATTTTAATATTGTAATTGGGATTGTTTCTCCAATGGACACAAATATTAGTCTTCTCTGTCCCAGTTTTCTTTAATCAATGAAATGACATTTGCATTAGATATGTGAGTTAAAGAAATTGCTCCAAGTCTATAAATATTTATGAGCAGATTCTGTCCCCCTGCTTACATTGACTAGTAACTTTCTGTCTGAGTAGTCCCTTTGAAATCATTGGCCCTTGCTCTCAGATGTAGTGCTTTATACCATGACTTAGTCTCAGCGAGTTCCCTGAACTTTGGAAAAGAGCAGTGAACTTTTTGGCTCTGATTGAAATCGTGTGACATTCATGGCGGTATCATGATTTCAGTGGGCAACTGGGTGGAACTCAGCAGTTTTGCTTGGAGATTCTGAGTTGATTAGAACCCAGAATGCTAACCCAGAATAGGAGTGCTGTGGGTTTAAGAATCAAAATCAAAGTGCGAGCCCCACGTGAAGCAAAACTGTTGCCTATCCTGAAGCTGGAACTCTGGGAGTTGGAGGAGTCAAACACTGTCCCAGAATTCCCACACTCATTTACACAATTACCCTCTTTCTGTTGTCCTTATATGTACCCATGGGTCTGTGAACTTCACTCCAATTCATCTGATGAAGTGGGTTTTATTCATGAAAGCTTATGCTCTAATAAATTTGTGAGTCTGTAAGGCCTTGTCTACACTAAAAGGAAGATTGTTGCTGCCGCAAATGATCTTCCAGAGCTTGATTTAGCGAGTCTAGTAAAGACTTGCTAAATCGAACTCAGAGGATGCCCCTGCTGGCATTTTTCAAGGAGTAAAGGAAGCTGATGGAAGTGTTGCTCACACCAGCCTCCCACTGTGGGGATGCTGCCAAGCTCAGCTTAAGGTTAGCCAGCTCCAGTTACATATTTTATGTTGCTGGCTCTAGTGTAGACTGGCCTATGGTGCCACAGGAAGCCTTGTTGTTTTTGTAGATACAGACTAACATGGCTCCCACTTTGAGACTTTTCACTTGGGATACAGGGGTTTGTTTGGGTCCACCACAGTGCAAAGCCCTGTGTGGGCCCATGATTATGGAAAGCTCAGTGAACCTTTCAGCAAACCTGACCTGAGGGTTAGGTTTGTAATACAAAGTCAAACAAGGTGATCATCACTCACCTTGGGGTTCCAGTGAACCCATTTCACATAGTTACAAATATTTTGTTGCAAACATCTTACATGTTAAACTGTCCTGTGCATTTCCAAAGAGCCTAAGACCGACACCCGAGTGAGGACCATGCATTTGGGGGAGAATTTTGAAGGCAAAGATGTACATTCAGTGCAAGGTCAAGAAGACTGTCCCCAGGCTGTGGGATAAAAACTGAATTTTGGAATAGTACATGTCTCACTTTCACTGTACTGCTCTGTCTGCCTTGCAGCAAATATGCCCTTGAGTTACAAACTCTGTCAACACACTTAGGTTCTGAGTTGTATCACTAAGGCAGACTCAGGGGTTTTTTATCTGTATCTGTTTTTTATCAGGGGTTTTTGTATCCAGACTCAGGGGTTTTTTCGAAAAAACTTCACCTGCGTCCAGACTCAAGCCGCGTTCTTTCGAAATTAAATCGAAAGAACGCGGCTTTTCTTTCGACGGCGGTAAACCTCAATTTACGAGGAAGAACGCCTTCTTTCGAAAGTTCCTCTTTCGAAAGAAGGCGTTCTTGAATGTAAATAGGGCTTCCTCGAAAGAGAGCATCCAGACTCACTGGATGCTTTCTTTCGAAAAAGCAAGCCGCTTTTTCGAAAGTTCAACGTGCAGTCTAGACGCTCTCTTTCAAAAGAGCCTCTTTCGAAAGTATCTTTCGAAAGAGCCTCTTTCGAAAGAGGCTTGCAGTCTAGACATAGCCTAAGAGGCTAGGACCACGCACCCAACCAGATAGGCTCCCAGTGTCTGATCATGTCAGTATTTGTATTTCTTGCCCTTCCTTCCCCCCACTGGTCATGATGGGATAGGTCCTAACATTAAACTTGGTTTTCTCACGGCATTGCCCCCATCGAGGATCAGAGTGAAAGAGAGTGTGACTCTGAAAAGAAAAGGTCTTTTGGTTTATACATGGCTCCTTGAGTCACTAAAAAGCCCATGAGAAAGACAAACACACACACTTTAAATGAAAAATACTAAACCCCATACCTAAAACTTTATACAGCATCCTGGGCTGGATTCGTCTCTGCCTTTCACCAGTTCTAGACTGGTTTAATTCTCGTGACTGGAGTTACTTGTTCTGGTATAACCGAAAGCAAATTCAAATTCACTTTTTTCACTTAAAACCATTGGAAAAAAGCTGCCTGAGGCTTTTCTCTCCTTCAAAATGTCAGTGCAAACTTACATTGCCAGGGAGAGGAACTTCTGGAAAAAATTATTTAAAAAACAATTTGCAATTGTATTCCCCCTCTCAAATTCAGAAAATGTTGACCAGTTTTAATTTTTATTATTTTTTCAGCACTCGAGAGTGTGCCAAGCCTTTTGCAGAAACAAATTAAGGCTGTCCTGTGCTGAAGATTAACTGACATATGATGCAGCTCACAAGGGTCAAAAACAAGCATCAAAGGGGCAAAGGGAGAGGAAAAACAGCATCATAATAATGAGATCATGTTGTTACACAAAACAGCCTGTACAAATGGTTCCCCTAAGGGCTTAATCTAGTGTTCATTGAAGTAG